ATGACTGCGCATGTAAATGTGATTTCAATCGAAGTACTAAAATGGACAATCAAATTAACGAGCCTAATTTTGGTGCGCGATCGGTTTATTTGCATGAATAGAACTCTTGAAATCTAACGAATCTTACGTACTTGAATCGCGAAGTTTATACGAGCCTCGTAGTGGGCATCTGACATGCGGATCACTTAGCATACTGTATGGAACTAGCTCGAATATGCACCTTTTATTTTCGCTACTCGCAATATTTTGGAAACACAATGAGTTTTTGGCCGTCCTAATTTTGAACGCGGTTGAAGACGATATAACGAAAACAACTATGTGTAGAATCACTCGGTAGAACCCTCCACCACAGAGTGTGCTTCAAAATTATACCTCGCGGGGGAGCTGCTAGAAGTGCGAATAGCATCATGCTACACCATGTGTACAATCACCCCAGTAACATCCACATAGAATTAATCTTTTAAACACTCTTATAGTGTGTAGGTGGTTTTTCACGTTTAAACTAAAAGACCAGGGCTAGCTATCTTTGCACTCCTGGTCTACACGGAGTCGACGAGGGTCCCTCCAGGGAAATAACTTATAAATTTTAGTCTAGGTGTTGCGGGATTTGAACCCACAGCCAATACATTAAAAGTGTAATGCTAAACACTCGAACAGGACGACTATTGTCAGTTACACGCACATACCCTGCCTTCAAACGTGGTGGGTTGGCTACCGTGCACTTCCAGAGTGGCCGATCGCCAGTGATTTTGGTCAAACCCGATTCTCTCCATGTTTTCGTTTATGGTTTGGGGTGCCCATCTACAGAGAGGTGAACGCGAACGCTTGCATGAGATCGGGCAACTCCAAATCAGAGTTTAGTACAGAATCAGTGTGTGTAGCTGTGCTTGATTAGAGTGTGGCCGACACATCCATCAACTATGTACGTGATATACTCTCCAGCGGCTTCGACGGGTCAGAACTATTTCAACTTAATCGATCCACATCAAAGGAAGCACACTGCATTAGCGCATGTTTGTTTGACATAATCAAAGTACAGGCTGGGCATCCTAATCAATTGACCCAACACATGTTCGATCAACATGTTGTCATAACCATTATAAACACTCAAGCATTGTGCCCATACACGCCTCATGCACGGTTTAGCTGTGTAAATCCGGCAAACGTGCCGCGCGGGCATATCGAGCTTTCCCGCAGCTGTCAAAAAAGCACGGTATATAATGACACGTACAAGACATGCGCAAGTAGGCACAAACAGTATGTGCAGCAGCTCTTGTGATGCTGATCAATCTACGGCACTTACTCAGATGCCCACCACTCGTAGGTTTTCGAGCACAGTGTGTCGTCTTTACTCCTTTCGCCAGCCTCCATCGTCATTCGCTCTGTTTGAAAGTGTTTACGAATCTCATCAGCGCTTTCAAAAGGGTGGAATATGTCTTTAAAAAGTCTCACTATATTTCTGACGTTTTTTAAATAGTCTAGGTGAATGCACCACCTGCAGACACCCCCCCCCAACAAATCGCACTATGGAGACAGAGTTGCTCAGAAGGTCCTAGAATATGCGAAGGTGCAAGGAGTGATCAGCCATAGTTTTCGAACCGGGATATGGCACAAGAAGTGATGTTTGTTAATACGTATCCTAATTAAGCTTCAGGTACAATACATCCTGCCGGGCGTGAATACCAAAGTGAGTCATATATTTCAACGCTGCAGACACATTGGAACATTGGAACTACACACTTTTGGGTTGAAAATGCGTTGTACAGTACTGGGCAATGATCAGCTCTCGCGACAGGTATATCAAACACTCCGCCATGCAAACAACAATGCAAAGACAAGTGCTCAGATACATGCCTATACTTGCGCATCTTTTTTATAGAATCACAAGCATATCACAGCCATTGCGTGGTTCGCAGCACAAGATACAACAACGATAGGTAAGCTGCCACATAGTCACCCGTCATACCGCAGAAATGATTATCCAGTGATGAAGGCATGTGCTTGTTGTAGTACATGTAGAATCCTATTTGCTGCAAGGTGTCCGGAAATACAGAATTCAAGTGAGCAAGGATCATACTCATCATCAGTGGACGTTTAGACAGATAGTAGCTGACATAAAACGTGGCTCTGTTGTAGGTCTGCAGGTTTCGTATACGAGCACTGCAGTGGCATATTTTCATACAGACATACAATGTGCTGGTGACTCACAAGCCACGTGTCAACATCGACATGTAAAATACTTATGACAGAGGCAGGTATACCTACGGCCGCCGTTTTGGTTGCAATGATCGTCTTTCCAACACCCAGACCCAAAAAAAACAACGAAGGGATGTGTTGATAGACACTCGCTCTCAATACACCAATATAGTTTAGACAAAAACCACTGTTGAAGGCGAAACAGGCATACCAGAATGTCATCGCCGGGCATATTCCCACCGTGCCGGTATGCACCCACAAGCGATTTGTGGTCGATGTGGTACGTGAGATTCATTCTGTTTAGATTGATGATCATTTCCTCCATACACTGTGAGTCGCTATTTCGCCCTGTGGTGTGTATAAGTGCGTAGGCTTAGTTTCATATATGCGTCGTAAGCACTGGAATCAAACGTCAACCAT